TTTCGTATTCCGAAATAAATAAAACGGAATTAAGGCAAGTTCTTTCTGTGCGGCCCGGAACCAAATGCCCTGCGGACCGGTACCGGTCCGCGGACCGGCGGTTGGGGACCCCTGGTTTAATGCAAAGCTTGAAAAACACATTACAGCAAAGGTGTTTGTTTTCGAAGAGCAGAATGCATGGAAGCAAGTGTGCCACCGCTTTCAGTTCAGTATGTTCCTCCACAAGGACACCCCTAAGAGAAGACTTGAGGAAGGCTGAACGGTGCCATCAAAGACTTAACGGTTAAGTTAAGGACAGGTTAAGTCTTAACCTGTCAACCTGTCCTACTTTGCTTTCAAAGAAACTCTCTCCGAGTTAACTTTGATGTCGAGAAAGACCCGACATCACCGAAAGGTAAACACCTGTGAACGTTACATGGGTGTAATAAACAAAGCAGAACACAACAGGAACGAATCATCAGTAGTAACGCTTACTGTAAGCACACACATATCACGAACATAAAGCACACCAGGCGCATGCTTTAATATGTTACATTTATTCAGAAGAGTTCACAATCAGCTACATGGACATGGGTGCAAATTCACAGGACATTGTTGCAGTCATGCTTCAATAAATGCATACATAAACAGTACATATATAGCTGCCAGGCACCCTGTTGGGATTTTTTTTTTTTTTTTGCTTGACTTGACCGAAAAGTAAAGCAAAGACAGAAAAAAAAAAACAAGAACCACCAGAAGATGGAAAGGAAGAGACAGAGAAAAAGAGCCTCTGGGGAATCTCGAGTGTGTGTGTGTGTGTGTGTGTGTGTGTGTGTGTGTGTGTGTGTGTGTGTGTGCGTAACCCAGGGCTTATGGGGGATGGTGTGAAAAGTCACCTGAAAGGGTCAATGGTGACCAAAGATGGGGACAAAATGGAAGTGACATGCTGACATACAAAAAACACAATCAGATGTAAAGTAACTGACCAAAAAAAAAAAAAAAAAAGTTTGAATTGGAGTTGATGACGGTAATCGATGGAGTCGTCAATATTTTTGATCCCGAATCTTTCTCACAAAGAGACACATTTTGAGACATAAAAACACATTTTTAAAAATGCTGACTCTAGTTGTAATTAGTGGGAGCCCTGCACGTTTGTCTTCAATGACCAGGACGAGCTTGTCTTGCGTTCCGTAACGTGGCGTGTTTTAAGGGCAGGCATGGAATCGAGGATCACCAAAAATTAAGCATTTCTCGGCTTCACAGTTTTTTGGTGTTACTATGAAGAACCATGCTACTCTGTTTAAAGCTTCCTGGCCCACCGCCCACCGGAGCCCAATATGTGTGTATTGCACGAAGACCAACTGAGCTTGTCAAACTTTTAATTAGAGTCTATAGCCATTTTTTTATTTTAATCTAAATACATTTTTTAGAGTATAATTTATGTCCCTTCCAAAGTGGCTTAGGTGGGCGGGAGGGCTTTGCCCAAGAGCCGTCTTTTGATGAGCTGCCATTGTTTATGTGTATAAATGAAGAGCAACTTCCTTAGCATTCATATTTAACCTGGGGCTCGGTACATTCCTTTGCGACAAGAGTCAAGAACAACTTTTGTGTGGTTGTTGGGGAGCAGGGGTTTATGGCCTGTGTGTGTGTTATACTGGCCCTAAGTAACGTCGGTCCTGTCCATGGTGAATGGGTGATTCAGGGATGGAAATGGCTCAACAAACTGAAGGTGATTAATGTGCCCGATTTCAAGAGACTAAAAAAAAAGCCTCAATAAAAAAAGTTGTTCATTGGCCTGTTTGATCTCATTGAAATGCATTAAAGCAAGCCTCTGTGACAGTACACTTCTAAGTAAACAAGATTGGCCGCAGAGTGCACCAACTCTCAATCTCAACTCAACTTTATTTAAAGAGCACTTGAAAACAACTATCGCTGCATACAAAGTGCTGTACATAGAGGAATGTAGTCGGGGGCGGCTGCGGCAGTTGCAGTCACAGGCCGAAAAATAATCACAGACAAGGTGGGGGGCGTGTTCCCACTTCATTGGTTTGTTCAGTAAGCCAACTGGTGGCAGCTTTATTCTACCTGTAACGTCAGTAAAAGCTTTTCTCCAGTCACTCAAATTGCCTTCTGTCATTCCTATGACGGTATTTTGCTGTTGTCATAACCTTGAATAGAAAGTACAGTTTTGACTGCACAACGACAAAATACATGAAAGTCTGTGAAAGGTTTTCAATCAAAAGTTTTGTTGGAAGTGTTCATTTTCTGTGGAGATATGTGTACAAACACACAAACACACAGGGCTTCCCTCTGCCTTTTCATTCACTTACACGATCTGCCTCTTCCGGTTCTTTTCTCGCTCTGAATATTTCAGTATTGATGAGGCCATTACTGATGATAACACACCAGTGTCAGCATCTTTTCTTCTGCTGTCAAATAGGCCCACAAATATATGGCCACTCATCTGGAGTCGGGTTACAACTGCTGCTAGTCGGTGTGTGCCAAGTGTATTTGTGTGAGTGAGTGTGTGTAGAGCTTCCTGGCAGTAATCCAGTAAATAATGATACTTCACGAGGCCTTTTAAATACACACCTAGTGGCATTAGAAGGCTGCTAAAATGATGAAAATGACAACAAATCCCTTTTTAAATGCTTCCAACAAATCAGATTTCCAAACAAAGACCATAAACATGCGTCGGTGTAATTCTTTAAATTGCAGGCAGTTGCATCAATCTGTTTGATGTTCAGGGACTGTAATGATAAACCTTTATGAACGTATGGTAAAAAAAGGCAACTATTACAACAAAGGGGAACCACATAGCTCAGAAAGAGAATATGCTTTGAATTGGCCGTCTTTCCCCATACCATATGCATCTCATGAAATATTCAAACGGGAGATAAACTGTTGGGATTCCCAACATAGCGCAAGCATAACATTGGCTCTTAAATACTACAACAGCATCATCCCCGGTGACCTTCAGTGTCTGATAATCAAAGCAACTCATGCTCAAGGAGGAGCAGGTAAGGTCAGCTGCTGACACTAATTGTAATGTCAGACCTGGCACGTTTCATTATTCGTCAACAAATCTGCTTGTTTCAGAGGATGGAGCGCTGCTGAAACTTGATACTGAGCAATCCCCAAAACGTGTGTGCCAAACTAGGGCAACTTGAAGAGAACACCAGGGGTTATTGAAAAAATCCTAGAATACAGACATCAAACCAAGCTCCGAGGAAGCCTCATCAGCATACAGTATTTACAGAGCGTGAGAGGCGTTTGATCAGCCTCGCGCTTTGATCGCAATAGCTCACCTGAATCACAGCAGATGCCTCCATTCATTTCAGGGCAGGTGCTTCACAGGAGAATTTCAAGCAGCAGAAATTGCATTTGCCAACAGGAGGGATTTATTTTAACATTATGTTGAACACGTCGTCTTGACATTGTCAACGTGTGCCTCTGAGGAAGAGCGGGCCAACGTAACAAAAATAAAAAAATAAACTTGTCCTCAACAATCAACACCATCCACTCCGCAGATGACAACACATAATGGTTATGTCATGCTGCTGTAGGCGCATCCACTACGACACCTTTGCCAGTGCAAAGACAGGAAGTGGATATGAAATTCAATTTGGAGCTTGCAACATAAGATGTTCTACTCTTCATACAACGATGTGGCTTGTGTATACATTATTGTCCAGCTATGCATAAGAAGTCCCTGTTGAGTGGGCTTGTCTTAACATATCTGTTCTAGTCCATCCCAGAAGTGTTCGATGGGGTTCAGGTCAAGGCTCTAATCAAGTTTTTCCTTGACAGAACTTCCTACGCGCCATGAAGTGCAAGAGGAATAAAGAAAGAAAGAAAGACATTTTGGATTGCTATTAAAAGCCTTTGGTAGTGCAGTAGAAAGTAACAAAGTACAAATACTTTCTTATGGTAGTTGCGTAGATTTTCGAGCTATCTATACTGGAGTATTTATTTTTTCTGATGACTTTTTACTTTTACTTATGACATATGAGAATTGATACCCGTACTCTCTATTCCTTACTTTGTCTCTCGCTCTCTGTGTTCTATGCTAAAGACAATGTAAAAAAAAAACATAAACAAAGTTAAAGTCAACCTTGGGTGAGATCTTAATTGACTGAATCTAATCTAATGACAATGGCAACAGATTCAGCTTGATCTGTTTGGTGTTGTCGTCTTCAAGTCTTAATATTTGTCTTGTGTCGGCTTTAAAACCATGAGCTGCTAGTGTTTTAAAAAAAACGATCTGTCGTGAATACAAAACACTACTTTGTGTTTATTTTCAGTTGTTATCATTAATTTAGCATTTTTTGTTGTACTTGTTTCACAATAACATGGCAGCACGTGTAAGGAACAAGTTAATGAAGGTGTGTGTGTGTGTTTTTTTTTTAGTACTGTACTTCCATTGAATCGGTCTTTTAACACACATATCTGTACTTCAATTTAAGAACGGAATGTCAGTACTTTTGCCACCTCTGTAACAGTATCCCTACTGAGACTTAAACCTTATACGTAATGTATAAGCGTTGATGGTAATTTTGAACCACTAGCCCGCAGGACTCACGGGAGTGATAAAGCCACCTAACAGACGCTGTGGAAATATTTGAGCGGTGATACAGTGCGATGTGACGGGCTTAAGGGAGCTGACAGCTGCCCTCACATCTCACATGGTGCTGCCGCTGTCAAGGGGAGAATAATGACAGCCAGCCAGCTGGCGGATCATACTCAACGCTCCACCACCACAAGGGGCCATGTGCCTCCCCGGCCGCCTCCTTGGACTAGTATGAGGAAGTAGAAGCGACACACAAACACACACGTCGGAGTGGCTGACTTACATGTCGGTGGATGGCGGTTGGCTACGGCAGAGCAGCGCGTGTCCGCACGCTTGTCCCATGGCGCATCGTGCCTCGCCACCCCGCTTGACCAAAAACAACTGCAGTCGTGGAGTGTGAAGCGGTAGGATGGAGGGACAGTGGACGATGAGCGGGTGGGTGTGTTTGTGTGTCGTCCTCGCTTTGCCACTTCTTCGCCGGTATCCACCGCTTCTTAGGGGCTTCCGTCTCTCCAGCGTGGAGAACGGAGGATTATTCGAGACCGGGTAAGTGATACTTGAACGCTTGTGCACGAGGACATCATCGGGCGAGAGAGCGAGAGAGAGAGAGAGAGAAAGAGAGAGAGACGTTCAGGGCCACATGGAAGCGTCAAAACCCGCCAGCCCACTGTCAATTGAGAACTACTCGTGCTGAAATAAAAACAACTCCCCACGCACACGGGGACGAGCTCCTCCTCGAGTTATTTATTTACGTGGAACTTCAAACTGTGACAATTGCATCCTTCTGTAATCCCACACAGACAAATGTGTGTGAGGACTTGAACGTCACCTGCTACGAGCGGCAGGCAGTCTTATCCGCTGGTGCCAGCCGCTTTTCATTAACCCAAGTTGCACTTGAATTACAGTTGAGTATGTGTCACTTGTGCAGTTCAAAGGTCCAACGGTGTTTTATCTTCATGGTCTCTCCACCGTGCACACACTTAACAAGAAAGCTGGCTTCTTAGTACTGACTGTAATGCAAAAGGTATTGTGGGAAACACAAAACAGTGGTTCCCAAAGGTAAGCTTGGGATACGCATTTCCCTATTCTTGCACTTTTATGGGAGTTTGGAACTTTCCAGCAGCTACAGTTACCAGAAAATACAATGGCACTGTAATTTACTGAAATTAATTTACGGTATATGAAATCACGATTGAATCACATTTAAAATCTGTTAAATACACAAAAATATTGATCATTAAACAAGATTATCTAGTAGTTAAAAATAACTTTTTTTTTCTGCACAATCTGTATCTGTTTCATGAGAAAAGTAGCGAAGCCACAGGTCGCCCCAGTCCTATCAATAATCAGAAAAGTTTACTGCCATTATTGAGTAACATAAGTTAAACAGCAAACCAGCTAATAAACGATCCATCCATTCTCTACCGCTTATCCAGCTAATAAAAGACTAGAGTTTGGTGACTTGAACACTATGACGTTGCTTTCAGTGTTGGTATTTATTTGATACTCAGTCTATTTGTAAAATTATTCAATAAAAAGATGGACTGCATGATCCTTCTTATGTGAGGCCCTTTGGGGGTATGCCAGTGACCCCCTTTAATATTTCACCTTAAAAGTTTTTTCGATGTTAAACTGCAGTCCACCCATACAGGGGTTGTCAATTACTGCCCCTGATTAGACCTCTCACACACACACACACACACACACACACACACACACACACACACACACACACACACACACACACACACACACGCTGATCTTCAAACGTTGGTTGAATGACATCTCCGTCTCTCTTAAGTTAGTTCTGTCGCATCTGTTCATCATCATTCTCCGCGTCATTTTCTCAGCATGGCGACTGGGATCCCCCACAAGTTCCCCACATCGCTCCCCCGAACTTCAGCCTGAGTGGAGAAGTAATCAGCTAATCAGCCGTAATTGCAAACACCTGAGCTAAGGCTTGCCGTTAAAAGTTGCTGTTGTTCAGTGTCAGTCAACTCAATGGAGGGCTCCGTCCTTTTAGCAGTTACCCACAATCCACTACCGGCGGCCATATTGGAGGCCTGTTATAAACAAGCCATACACGAATAGACTTCGTGTGTGGTTTGTTTATAAAAGCCCTCCAATATGGCCGCCGGTAGTGCATTGTGGGTAATTGCTAAAAGGCCGGAGCCCTCTATATCGTGACGTTTAAAGCAGATTTATTTTTACCCCCGTTTTCGCATATGAATTTCATACAATCACTGACTGTTTTGGTTCGCTGCTTCCAAGGCTCCTGGCGCTCCTTTTGGGATAATTAATGGAAACGAAGTATTGTGCCTTTTACGCTGCTCGGCAAGGCAAAATGTCACAATCCCACAAGTAATAATTTAAATTAGATTTATTTTCATTTCCACTCAGGTAGGATTAAAAAAAAAAAAACATGGGTGGGAGAGCGGCGTGTTCGTGGGAGTCCCTTTTCAGGGCACTGCATAATATGCCATCAAGTTCCATTTCTGGTTCAATAATTGCTATCCTCCCGAAATTCACAAAAAAAAAAAAAAAAGCCAAAGATAAAGTAGACGCCAGCACAAAAGAATGTGAGATTTTCTTCCATGGTCTCATACTTCCATCAGGGTTGGAGATAAGCAGCACAAAAATTATATGAGAGTCATCAGACAGAAAAATTAATACCTTCAGCCCATTTTCACGAACAAAATCACAGATGGCTGTAGGCGTGTTTTGGAATTTTCTTCTCAGTGAGCAAAGCACATAAGCTGCCAGAGTTGGACATGTTTGTTTGAATTCACACAAGGTGCCAGAAGACATTGTTGGAAAATCTGAGGATCAATTTGTGATTATAGTTTTGGACAAATCAAGTAGCAGTGTTAGCTGGGATTAGATTTGTTGAAAACTAAGGTAAGAATGAGGGCTCAACTAAACACAAGAACATTAAGGTTACATTGAAAAGTCTTAATGGTTGGCGCGTCGACCTCACAGTGCAGAGGTCGTGGGTTCGATTCCAGCTCTGGCCTTCCTGTGTGGAGTTTAATGTTCTCCCCGTGCCTGCGTGGGTTTCCTCCGGGTACTCCGGTTTCCTCCCAAATTCCAAAAACATGCATGGCAGGCTGATTGAACACTCGAAATTGTCCCTAGGTGTGAGTGTGCGCACGGATGGTTGTTCGTCTCTGAGCGCCCTGCGATTGGCTGGCAACCGGTCCAGGGTGTCCCCCGCCTCCTGCTCGAAGATAGCTGGGATAGGCTCCAGCATGCCTCGCCACCCTTGTGAGGATAAAGCGGATCAAAAAATGGATGGATGGATGGATGAAAAGTCCTAAATAAACATTCTTGGATCTATCTACTGATGTTGGTTATCGTGTGTCCAAGTATGGGAAGCTGCTATTGAGAGGTCCAAAAAGCTTATTCAACACTCTGCATTTAGAGTGCAGCAGACGGTGTGGTTATGTCGAAGTTGTTGAGTCTGGAGGAGATTCACGCCACTATCTAAACAAATCAAACTGCATGCTACGCAGATTAAACCATGTTTTCACTGAAAAAGACCGGAACAGCTCCAAAAACATGACCACATTAAAAGTCCTTCTTAAAAAGAGAGCATAGTAGTTATGAAAAAAAAAAAAACAAACAATTGGCACACGTCTACCGAGATGTGAAACAAATACAATTCCTCTTTTTCACAGCAAGTGGGCGAGTGTCTGCATGGAAAAAGAACTGGAAAGGGTTCAAAGCTGAATCCAGATACACTGAGGATGTTGGTGTTATTTTAGGTTCCATGGAAAAAGTGCTTCAACATCGTTTAAGTGATCTTTATTCACTGATCAAAATATTTGAAAGCGAGTCAGCTCAATCGAGGAGACAATTTGATCTCGGTTGAGTTTTCACTCGCTCTGGCATGGTACATGCCAAGTGCCATATCTACTAAGCACAGAAGGAATTAGCTAGGCTGGAACACACATTAGCCATTGGTGCATACGCCCTGATGCCTTCAGATGCAGTTTTCTGAGAGCTTCACGGCCGATTGTCTTTGTTTTAACTCCACAATGGAGGTTAACATTTACTAGCCTGCCTTTATTAAATCCCTGACCATTGGAAGAGATCAGAAATGAACTGTCAGCTAAGAATGACATTCATTGGGGATGAGGACACCCCTCCCAGTGTTGGATTTTGTTTTGGCCAAATTTAGTTGACGTTCAGTGTTGGCTTTGCATGTGCACCAATACACACCTCCGATGAAATAAATCTGACCATTTTTAACACTTTGATACTATTCCTGTCTGACTCTAATTGCAACTGTCCTCAAATGAATTTTTTTTTGTTTGTTTTTGCAGCTACCAGACCGGTCCTCCGTATTCAGTCGTTATGGCAACCCTGCGAACATCATTTTGGAATAATGCTACACATTTTACCTCTGCGGGCTGAGCCTCATTGCTCTTGAAAAGACGCATATCTTGCAGCAGGATACAAAACAACAATAGACTATGACTGCGATGGCTTCTTGTGTGCAGTATGTGGAGCGCATTACATGCAACAACTGCCAGCGCACCTCACCAACAACAAAATACACATCTTCAGGATTCCAAACGCATCAGCCCAAAGGGGACATTGATGATGATGTTTAATACATGCCCACTTACAGGGGACAGGTTGAGGATTAGAAAAACCACACACATGTAATCACTTTTTGGTATTTGAGCAGGCGTTCTCCTGCAAAGGGGTGAATACATTTGGTCAGTCGAGATTCAGTAGAGACTCTACCTATAACCGAAACCCGAACCTTGAACAGGGTAGAAAGTTGATGGATGGATATGCATTATGCATAGAAGTGCTACATCCTTGAGCATATTAGGCCTGAAAATGCACGAAAAGGATGAAAGGTCTTCCAGTAACTTAGGACAGGAAGGGGCAGTATCACTAGTGTGACAGCCGTGTCTGAGCTGTGCTCTTCAATAAAGTGCAGTGAAGCTTATTTTTACGAGGTGGGAAATTCCTGCTGTTCTAGACTGTCCTGAAGCAGTCCTTGTCTCGTAAATCATATAATGGCCTGCGAAATGCTGTTCATTTCAACTTATTTAAAATGTCTCTGAAACCAAAGCAACACATCGATGTGAGCCTGAGCAGGCTTCCCCTTCCTCTAAAACCAGATTTCTTGACTAGGTAGAACTCAAAATAGATATAATAATGTTTTTCTCGGGATGAATCGAATTAATCGAAGGGATAAAACCCAGAGCACTGTGTTTGAAATTGAGTTGGTTCCTTGGCCTGGCTTCAATTCCCACTCAGAGATGGTGTGAAAATGAGGTCTCTTGGTGTGCCCTGTGAGTGAGTGGAGACTAGTGCGAGGCACTTGCTCAGCCTTCTCTGCCATGCCTTCATGCAATCCTTGAAGGATTCTTCAGGGATCATCCACACCTCCATCATCTTGATATCATTCACATTTTCAAAATGGGCTTCAGCAAACGCAAAAAGCGGGAAAGAAGGAATCGCACGGAGCCACGTTCGGGTCAGTAGTCAGGTTGCTCCAGTGCGGCGATGTTCCGCTCAGCCGGTAACTCTCAGATGCTCAGAGTATTATGAGCAGGTGGGTTGTTCATGGTGGAGCAGCCATGAGTGGTTCTTACACACTTCTCAGATCTTCTCGCACAATGAACAAAGCAAACACAGCAGGATGTCTTTGTGGACGTGCTGGTCGATCGTCCGGCCGTGTGGCGAGAACTTGCGGTGGACGATGCGCCCGTGTGATCAACATGACTTTGGCTTTCTGCCTTGTTTTCTTCGGCCCTGGTGACAACGGTGACGTCAGACTCTTCCACTGAAGGCTCGGGTCATTGGTCTCCGGGTTGTACTGAAGGATCCACAACAAATCACCGGTGCAAGTCTGGGCTCATTGGTCTTATCATCACTTACTCGGCTCATGCTTTAAGATGAGACACAGAGCACATGACTAGAAAAGCTTCTGGAAAGTTCAATGGGTGCAGAAATCTGAGGTTGCGCTTAGTCTGGGTTTGAAATCTATGTATCTTTTGTGACCCCCGAGTCCTCATCACAATGAATGAAATCACGGACACGGTTTAGTGGCTGTGAAGCTTAAATCTTAATTTTGCAGCACGGCAAAAGTGTGTCACACACCATCTGATTGAGGTCCCCAGAGTGTTTCGCTCTCAAATCTGCTCCTGAGTTGATTACAACCAAGTGTGATAGGTCTTCAGTGCTTACTGACATTTACAGGCAGCCTTCATGAATTGTTGAACAACTACAAACTGACTCGACTATTAATCATTCAAAAGTAATGCCTGATGGGTTGCGAGCTTTTCTCTCCAGAATATTATCACGTTCGTCACGCTGCAATGCACGGACGGTAGCGGGTGTCTAGAGTTACAGCGTGGGTGGTAAATACTCGAGAATGAAAAGCGAACCAATTAGAGGGCCTTCAGAGTTGTTGGTGAAACACAGCTGATGAATAAATTTCTCTTTACCTGTGCTTCACTTGGAAATGCTTCCAAACACACACAAGAGACCAAACGAGGCGAGGCAGGCTGGGCTGTCGAAGTTTTTCTGTTTATTTATACTCATATTGCCACATTTAATCAATTCTATTTGCCAAGACGTATGTGAACTTCCACCTACCTGGTGCTGTCAGTCATTCAGACCAAAAAAAAAAAGAAGAATATTGTGTCCGTGTCAAACCTTGCGCCTTTGTGAGAATTAACAGCACTTCATGGTGGAAGTTAGGTATCAAATAACTGCAGTCGATTTGGCTACAGTTTGAGTTTATCAAGAAAGCAGGCAATGTGGACAAGACACACGCATCCTTTTAGCTATTTTAAGTATCGTGGGCTAGGGTATATCAAAAATTAATGTAAAAGATGTCTGGTTGAAAATAGTGTCCAATGACCTTGCAAAGATGGCCAAAAACGGCAAAACAAATATATACGATTAGAAATACACCCGCTATATTTTTGTGTTAGCTTGAGCACCTGATGCTACATATGGTACACTCATAGTTCACTGAATTAGGTACGCCAGCTAAATCTTGGTCGATCTAGTACGAGATCTTTATCAAACACTCAGCCTACATATTTTGCTCGCCTTATTCGCCCTGTGGTTGGCTGGCAAACAGTCCAGGAGTGGAGCCAGCATTTTCAGGAAAACTGGTCGAAACTGGATGGCGGCTATTTGAGAGGAGCAAAATATTCATAAACACGACTGCATCATGCGGTCCAAGTGCTCCAACCCTCAAAACTACAGCACAAAAATAGACATATTGCTCATTAAAACCTCTCTGAAAAAAAAAACCAAACAACTGTCATAAATAAAGAAATAAATAAACAATGCTGTTGAACTGGCCTTCAAAAACAGGGGAGTCTAAAACAAACCAACACAAAAAAAATCAGCTTTTATTTCTCTCATGGTGCCTTTTAGACACTTCTCGGTGCATGTATCAATCCCTGTTTATCTTAATCCCCTCCTTTCACTGTCGGGGCTCTCTTGCATCCCTGCTGGGTGCTAATGGCTCGCAAGCCATTAGCCCTCACTTACTCTGTCCTATTTCCACGTATGCTCGTCTTCCCACCGCTACCCAAACATAATCAACATCAACTGAATCTCAGGCAGCTTGACTTGTCTCAGGTGGTTTCATCAGTGACATTTCTCAAGACAAATTTTCAGAGTCCCTGTTTGGAAGACTTCTACCAGTAACATCCCAAACACTCTTGTCATTGCTGTTCCTGTTTCTTTTTTTTTTTTTTTTTTTTTTTTTTTTTTGGTGCATTTAACCATAGCTCAGTTGATGTTATGTAGGATGTCGTTTTTTTTGTTGTTTTTTTTTTAATGACTTCTGGCCATAAATGCTTCAGCAACACTGTCCCCTGTTAGAATTGGAGCAAGAGAAGCTAGCTGTTCTGTCATGTACATATACTGTCTTAATTAAAATTAAAAATTTATTATTTATGTTAAAGCCAAGATGCTGCTGACTACTCATTAAATAAATGAATAAATAAATGATCCATACTGTTAATGTGTATGTAGTGGTGCTGCTGGATTCAAATGAGCTGTATTCTCCCAGATATTATTTCAGTTCCAGTATGTTTGTTTTATGGATCCAATCCGTTCCGCTTTGGCTGTGGCTCAACATTTAAGTAGCCCTCATCAGATGTAATGGTTTAGTCACAGACTTTCCCCAACAGTAGTATGCTTCTCCTTCATAAATGCGGGAATGAGATTCCATTAAAATGTCCAAAACAGTGGAAATTCTCTTGCCTGGCCCGGAGCTCAGCAGTCCTAAACTTCCAATCCTAGAATCACCCTTGCCTTGCTCCCTTCCAGGGGCCGGTCTGACGGTCAAACCCTCTTAGCTGTGTGAACTATGAGAGCTCTTGTGGCTTAAATCAATTTCAGTGTGATTTCAAACCACGGTGACATGACACCATCCCCTCGAACTGCACTGGAGAACATCATGTTAATGACATCATCTGAGAAGGCACACACACACACACACACACACACACACACACACACACACACACACACACACACACACACATATACTGTATATACACATACACATATTTTTTTAATGTACTAATAAAAAATATTTTTTTTTAAAGTTTTTTTTTTTAATGGCAAAATAAATTTCATTTCAAATCCGACCTTTGTTTTTGTTTTGAACTCTAGCATATAGTTACTACAAATAAGTAAGAAACAAAATCCATGGAGGCTTTAGCATGGTAATGTAACGAACAATTCTACAAAGTACAGTAATGGAAGTGAATTGTTTGGACAGTTTACAGTCACGCACAGTAGTCGGCTCATATGCAGAAAGACAATCAAACAAGAGCCCAGTCAGGACCATTAGTCGGTCGGTCTGGATTAGAGAGCCGCGACTATAAACCGAATGATTTGTTTTGGAGACCTCCGGCAAGGTAAAATGATGTGGCGACTACAATTAGTTCTTTTGAAATGGAAACTTTCCTGAAGCTGTGTAGTGGAAAATTTGCCCGTGTTATCCAACAAAACCTGCAGTGTTTAAATTTGAAGTCAGGACCAAGGCAGCTGACCGTAGTTAGTCATGCATGCTGCCTGACACCGACAAGATTTCTACAAGGAGACTGTCCTGCAATGCCGGTTTTGTTTTTCCACCCTGGTTTTGACCGGCAAATGCTCAGTCAGTGTAGTGTTGTTGTAGATAGTATCACATGTATCATGAGAGTTCATTTGTAGGGATCAGGCCAGGCCAGTGCACCAGACCAGTTCATTCATGGTGGTCCGCATTTTTGGGGACCAGCAACCACTCACCAACAGGGGCGAGTGTCGTGGCGTGTTGTCATACATTCCTGCTCTGCTACAAACAAAATATAAAAATAATTAGGGCTGGGCAAAAATTCCATATTAATATATATCGTGATAGACACCTAATCTATGTGAATAGGAATTGCAATAGTTAATAATATTGGTTGCAAAAAAATCTGGACCAAACCCTGACCCCATTCTGT